TTTATATATAAAAAATTATATGTTTTTTATATATAGCTGAGCGTGGTATTGGGCACCTGTAATCCCAGCTATTTGTGAGGCTGAGGCAGGAGAATCACTCGAATGTGGGAGGCGGAGGTTGCGGTAAGCTGAGATCCCACCACTACACTCCAACCTGGGCAACAGGAGATTCCATCTTAAAAACAAACAAACAAGGGCCGAATGTAGTGGCTCACTCCTGTAATCCTAGCACTTTGGGAGGCTGAAGCGGGTGGATCACCTGAGGTCAGGAGTTCGAGACTAGCCTGGCCAACATGGCAAAAACCCATCTCTACTAAAAACACACAAAAAATTAGCCAGGCATGGTGAAGGGCGCCTGTAATCCCAGCTACTTGGGAGGCCGAGGCAGGAGAATCTCTTGAACCTGGGAGGCAGAGGTTGCAGGGAGCCGAGATTGTGACATTGCACTCCAGCCTGGGCAACAAGAGCAAAACTCCGTCTCAGAAAAACAAAAACAAACAAACCAAAAAAAACCTCTGATGTAAGGAGTTTGAGGCCAGTCTGGGCAACATAGTGAGACCCCACCTCTACAAAAAAATAAAATTAGCTGGATGTAGCAGTGCACGCCTGTAGGCCCAGTTACTCGAGAGGCTGAGGTGGGAGGATCACTTGAGCCCAGGAGGTTGAGGCTGCAGTGAGAAATGATGGTGCCACTATGCTCCAGCCTGCATGGCAAAGCACAATGTTGTCCAGGCTGGAGTGCAATGGTACCGTCATGGCTCACTGTAGCCTCCAACTCCTGGGCTTAAGCAATCCTCACACCTCTGCCTCCCAAGTAACTGGGACCACAGGCACATGCCACCACACCTTGCTCCTGGCTCGTTTTCCTTCTTCCAAAAGTTCTGTATTATTCTAGATCATCTCTATTGTGTAGACCCAAAGACCCACCCTGCCCTAGATCTCAATTTGTTAATGTATTCAACATTCACTGGACACCTTCTATGAGCCCAACACCCTAGGCACTAAGGCCACAGGAGTGAGTAAGTCAGACCCAATCTCTGCCCTTCAGGGCTACAGTCTAAAAAGAAACAGACAATTAAACAAACAAGTGCATTGTGATGTCCTGTGACCTAAGAGAGGAAACTGGGGGTAGAGGAAACCCCAGAGCAGGCAAAGCAACTTCTTGTCTTGAGGAAGTCATGGGGGCTTCCTGGAGAAAGTGGCCCCTAAGCTGAGGCTTGACAGGGAGTTGGGGTTACTCAAGGAGGAGGCAGAAGGGTGTTGGAGGCAATGGAAGCCACACGACTGAGCAAAGGCCAGACCAGGTCAAGGTCCTTGGAGCAATCGCATTAAAATGAGACACAATTCAGAGTCCAAAAATGCCCCAGTAGGAGACGGGACAGCACACGCTCCCAAGTCCCTGACTTACTCATCAAATTTTTTATTCTCAATGAATCCAGTCAGGACACCTCAGAGCAGACCTACATTTCCATCCTGAGCCCAGAGAATCTTTTGGCCGGAAACCAAAGGAAATTGAGAGCAGCCCATTCATGGGACCCCAGTCGACCACATCCACAGCAGAGAAAGAGGGGCTTGCGGCCCATAGACTCGGGGCTATGCCTGCTGGCAGCACAGGAGAGAACACACCAGGAGCTGGAGACCCCAGGGGTCCCCCAGAAGAGGGGCGATGCTGTATTTCCCGAAGAGTTTTTTCTCCACCGAGTTTCCTGGATGTATCTCTGGGGTCGATTCCACCCATCTCGCCAGCCCAAAATGGGGATACGCAAGATCCAGCCTTTATGTGTCAAAGGATCTATGTAGCAGTGGGGTTCAGCTGCTGCTCTGCATGGCTTTAGGGATTGCCAGCACGTGCTCCCCTTTTTCCTCCCATCACGGTCAGCAACGATTATGTTTGGTGCAAGCCAAAAATATTGCATTCCAGCCTGGACAACAGAGTGAGACCCTGTCTTCAAAACAAACAACCAAACAAAAATTAGAGGGAGAGAGGGTCTTACTGTGTTGGCCAGGCTGGTCTGGAAGTCCTAAGCTCGTGCCTTGGCCTTCCAAAATGTCGGGATTATAGGCATGAGCCACTATGCCTGGCCCCGTCTCTATTAAAACAACAAAAAAAGAAGAGTGAAGCAGGCTGGGTCTGCATTAGAAACGTCTGAAGTTCATACCATAGGTTAGTGAGGGGAAGACAGACCAGGTTCCATCCTAGGCTATAGGCCACAGAACTCAACTTACGTCCAATAAATGATCCCTGCGTGCCAGGTAGTTACTATCATTATTATCCCCTTTTACAGATGAGGAAACAAAGGCCCAGAGAGGTCAAGTGACCTGCCCAAAGTCTCCCAGCTAGGAAATATACAAGCTGAGATACGGATTCTGGTAATCTGCTACTAGAAGTCAAGGGTTAGAGGTCAGAACTGCAGCTGTTTAAGTCCAGCTGGGAAATCTGATACACACACCTGATAAATGGGTTTTAAGGATGACATGCATCTTAAATAGCTCTTCATGGCTGAGTTTAGGCAGCTGAGGCTCTGAAGAAAACTTAACAGCTGGAATTGCAAACGTTTGTTGAATGAATTAATGACTGAACCAGGGTTATTTGGGGCCTCATCTTCCTTTCCACATTCTTCCCTTAGCTTCTCTCTTCAAGGATTTTACCCTCCAAGACACTTCTTACGTCGCTTGTCCACTTCGATAGCCAGTTCTTTCCCTCTCTGACTTCTCCTGTAATTCCCAGCCTCACTGGGACTCTGGGTTAAAAAGTTGTGGCTCTGCCACTCACTAGTTCTGTGACTTGATGCAGTTTCTTTTATTTTCTTTTTTCTTTTTTTTGAGATGGAGTTTTGCTTTTGTTGCCCAGGCTAGAGTGCAATGGCGTGATCACAGCTCACTGCAACCTCCGCCCCCCAGGTAGAAGCAATTCTCCTGGCTCAGGCTCCCAAGTAGCTGGGATTACAGGTGTGTGCCACAATGCCTGGCTAATTTTTGTATTTTTAGTAGAGACGGGGTTTCACCATGTTGGCCAGGCTGGTCTTGAACTCCTGACCTCATGATCCACCCGCCTCGGCCTCTCAAAGTGCTGGGATTACAGGTATGAGCCACTGCTCCTGGCCTGGCTAAGAACCAATTGTAAGCCACCACACAGTGTTGCAAAACCATAAAACAATTAGCAATAACTCTGCTATCAAACAATTAATTTCCAGGGTGTGTAAATATGTCCCCAAGGCTCCAACTTACAGACTAGTAAGAGTTTTGAAGCTTGCCGTTTTTCGAAGGCTTATACAGAATAGTTTCCTGCAAACTCAAGTGGCTGGGAAGCCCAGCTGAAGGTTACTTCTACCCGAAGGCCACGTCAGCAGAAAGTGGCCAACAGGTCTTGGGCCTGAAAAAACTCAGACTGAATTTCAGGAATGACATCTGAAACTGCTGGTTTCTCACAAGGAATAAAAGCTATCTGGGAAGCTGGAGAAGCAGCTGCTTACTGTCTGGGGCAGGGACTTGCAAATGGGTAAGTAGATATCTGGGGAGATTAGGAGCCCAGTGCTGGCCGGGCACGGTGGCTCACTCCTGTAATCCCAGCACTTTGGGAGGCAGAGGTAGCAGATCACTTGAGGTCAGGAGTTTGAGACCAGCCTGGCTAACCTGGTGAAACCCTGTCCCTAGTAAAAACGCAAAAAGATTAGCTGGGCGTGGTGGCACGTGACTATAATCCCAGCTTTACGAGAGGTTGAGGCAGGAGAATTGCTTGAACCCAGGAGGGGGATGCAGTGAGCCGAGTGTGTCACTACACTCTAGCCTGGGCGACAGAGTGATACTCTGTCTCAAAAAAAAAAAAAAAAAAAGAGTGAGTACAATATTGATTGGGGTGGTCTTCAGGCATGGAGCTCAGATATTCTGTTTTTCAGACTTTGGCCCAACACATGACCACAGTAGAAGTCAACGAGTCTGAGTTCTTGGAACTGTCTGAAGATGCTTACTGGTTGGATTGCAGGGCCTTCAGTTCTTTCTTCATTTCTCTGCTAGCTAAGATTTTCCAGATCAGCAGTAGGAATATCGGAAGGTCCCTCTTTCCTGCTTTGACTGAGATAACTCACCAAGGAATCTTTGGATTTGCCCAACATGAAACATTTCAATCAAACCTGAAGAGAAATTGAGATGTTTGAGAGATTAAAAGAGGACTTAAGATGTCTTGGTTCCGTTCAATTTCTCTTAAGGGTCAACTCTTAATCATAAAGCAAATGCATTAGTATTTTGTAATATATTAGTATTATGTAATTTCTCCACACTTACAACCTTTAAGAAGAAGGACTGAAGATAAGTTAAATGGTTTCTATTTACTCTAACTCAATAATACAGAGTTTGACCAGAAAGTAATCAAAGTGACTTTTAGAATAAGCACTCCAGGCAGGGCGCGGTGGCTGACGCCTGTAATCCTAGCACTTTGGGAGGCTGAGGCAGACAGATCACCTGAGGTCAGGAGTTTGAGACCAGCCTGGCCAACATGGTGAGACCCCATCTCTACTAAAAATACAAAAATTAGCCAGGTGTGGTGGCACACGCCTGTAATCCCAGCTACTCGGGAGGCTGAGGCAGGAGAATCATTTGAACCCAGGAGGCGGAGGTTGCAGTGAGCCGAGATGGTGCCATTGCACTTCAACCTGGGTGACAGAGCGAGACTCCATCTCCAAAAAAAAAAAAAAAGAATAAACATGCCCAAACTCTCATAATAGAGCAAGTAATGGCTTTGGAGTTGATGCCTTCAGAGCATATGTACCAATCTGGAAAGTTGTAGCTCAAAACACATTCTGCAGCCCCCTCCGTCAAGATTGCCTTCAAGGCTAATTTACAACACACAAGTGAAAATCTACTTTTGACTTCACATAGAGTTATGTGGCTTGTCTACTCCACATTAATCCCTAGATTTGGCCACAGATGGTTTGTGTCTGTTTCTGAAAATCAAATCTACCTCCAAAGGACAAAGATTTATCATTCCCCCAAAGACATACGGAAATTTAAAAATGCAATGCAGGCTCTGAAGGTAATTCTCAAGCACCGTTGCTAAAGTGTGAACAATAGAAGATTTGTTTGAAAGTCAGGGTTTCCCAGGTGGTGACTTTGAAGACCACACACTTCATGTGTATGCACTGGGTCACAAAATGCCAGACCTAGAAGAGGCCTTGAAGACAGGAGCAGGGACTAGGTGGACAGGATCTTTAGACTTCGTGTCCCAGGTCCCTCACTCTCCTCATCCTCATCCCAGCCTTGCATCAACATTTTCTAGCGCACATTTGAGCTGCCTCCCTCCACCCCATCCCATTCATGGCTTTGTTAAGAGCATCAATCATGTTATTTTACATCACATGTCATGAATGTGGTTCTAAACAATGATAATAGGAGTTGAAAGAGAAAACCAGCTTGCAGGTTTATGTTGGATTTAGTGCCTTCCACAGCCTAGTAAGATGCTCAATAATGTTGACAAAATGAACTGGACTTGAGATGTGATACTAAGAAATATATTTTAGCTATGGAATATATCACCACTGTTATCAGTGCCAGTGCTCACCACTGCATTGCAGACTGTGGTGGGAATTACAAATGCCATGCTATTAAACCATCTCAGATAGATGTCTGGTGAATTTTTTTAAAGCTTCAACTATTTCTGGTATTGATTTTCCCGAATAAGGGTCTATTACCAAGAACTGTAAAGTACTCTGCTCAGTAGATAACCATTAAAATCTAATCGCTGCCAAGTCACAGAGAGAAGAGATGGGAAAATGTGCTTTGTCAGAGGCTGGTGGAAGTCAGCTGCAGGAAGAATTTGGGGGCAAACCTTAGGAAGAGCTCAAGTTATCAAAAGCAAAATCATCAGCCTCATGCAACAGTGAATTGGCCATCCTAGAAGTATTCCAGTAGAGGTCAGATGACCCCTTTTTGGGAGATGGTGTCTATAGAGGGGCTTCTACAATAAGCTACAGAGCTCCTTGGTCCCCCTTAGAAGCTGAGTTTTTAGGATTCTATAACATGGATTTTGCAAGATAAGGATCTGTATGATACACACACCAACACATTCCTTGACTAAATCATTATCCTCTTTTATTCTGTTTTGATAGAATAATTTTTCTTTAGCTTCTTTCTTTCCTTCCTTCCTTTTTTTTTTTTTTTTGAGACAGGGTCTTGCTCTGTTGTCCAGGCTGGAGTGCAGTGGTACAATCTTCGTTCACTGTAACCTCTGCCTCCCAGGTTCAAGCAATTCTCATGCCTCAGTCCCCCAAGTAGCTAAGACTGCAGACACGCACCACCATGCCTGGCTAATTTTTGAATATTTTGTAGAGATGGGGTTTCACCAGTTGGCCAGGCTGGTCTCGAACTCCTGACCTCAGGTAATCTGCCTGCCTTGGCCTCCCAGGGTGTTGGGATTACAGACGTGAGCCACTGCACCCAGTGGCTTTTTTTTTCAGTCAAAACTCTAATCCCGTTCACTAAAAGGAGTCTTTCTGATTAACCAAGCGAGGTATTGACTTCCTACCCACTTCCCAACTCAATCAGAACAGTCTTTGCCTTTTCTTCAGGATTTCTAAACAGCAATAGACATTCACAGGGAAGGAAATGAGCATCTTGTTAAATCTTCACAAATGCTCCGATAAGCAAAAATTCAAGTCCATGTTATGCAAACAAGGAAACTGTGGATGAGGGAGGTCTCAAGATGTCACAGCTAGCAAAAGCTAGAGTGGGCACTCCTATGCAGGCCAGCATGGTTCCCAAGCACACGCTCTTTCCGTTATACCAGGATGTCCCCTGTGTCCACTGTGTGTATAAACACTGCGCTGAGTCATCCAATCCACGTATTGTTATTTCAGTTTTTATCGATGCATCGACACTCTTCACAATATGATTCTTTTGTATTTTTTATTTTTCTGAGACAGAATTTCACCCCTGTTGCCCAGGCTGGAGTGCAATGGTGTGATCTCAGCTCACTGCAACCTCCTCTTCTCAGGTTCAAGTGATTCTCCTGCCTCAGCCTCCTGAGTCGCTGGGATTACAGGCATGCGCCACCATGCCCAGTTAATTTTTGTACTTTTAGTAGAGACGGGGTTTCACCTTGTTGGTCAGGCTGGTCTGAAACTGCTGACCTCATGTGACCCACCCGTCTCAGTCTCCCAAAGTGGTGGGATTACAGGCATGAGCCACTGCGCCCAGCACACAATACGATTCTATGCTAGCCATGAAAGGTCATCTAGTGGTAGCATTGTGCCGAGCAAGGCTCTGGGAGCTTACTGTAACAAACTGGTGGTTCACTGGCAGTACGTACTGTTGTCATCTCCATTTCTGAGATTAAAAACTGAGGCTAGGCCAGGCGCGGTGGCTCACGCCTGTAATCCCAGCACTTTGGGAGGCCGAGGCGGGTGGATTGTCTGAGCTCAGGAGTTTGAGACCAGCCTGGGCAATATGGGGAAACCCCATCTCTACTAAAATACGAAAAATTAGCTGGGTGTGCCAGCATGCACCTGTAATCCCAGCTGCTTGGGAGGCTGAGACAGGAGAATCGCTTGAACCTGGGAGGCAGAGGTTGCTGTGAGCCGAGATCGTGCCACTGCACTCCAACTTGGGCAACAGAGCAAGATTCCATCTAAAAAAACAAAAAAACAACAACAAAAAACTGAGGCTTAGGGAGTTTAGGTGACTTGCACAAGTCACATGGCTAGTAAGTAGTAAAAAGAGGGTTTGAGCCAGGTTTATTGGCTCACACCTGTAATCCCAACGCCTTGGGAGACCAAGGCGGGAGACTGCTTGAGCCCAGGCTGTGTTAGTGCCACTGCACTCCAGGCTGGGTGACAGAGCAAGAGCCTGTCTCAAACAAAACAAAACAAAGCAAAACAAAAACAAAAAGAGGGTTTGAACCCAGACGTTCTGTCATCCGTATCCTTCTCTGCCTTAACCACTAAACGATACTGCCTCTACCCTACTTGAGGAGGAAGAGTCACTTTGCATTTTAATAAAGCATCCACATTATTAACATAGTGTCATATTCATAACAGGAAATTAATAAATATGCTATTAATTGGTAACGGGGGGAGACGATCATGGAAGGCAGGAAATAACTAATTACTAGGTGGGCAGGTAGTCAGAATGGTCTGGTAGACTATCAGAGATCAAAGATGTTTGGCTGGGCAAAGTGGCTCACACCTGTAATCCCAGCACTTTGGCAGGCTGAGGCAGGCGGATCACCTGAGGTCAGGAGTTCAAGACCAGCCTGGCCAACATAGTGAAACCCTGTCCTACTAAAAATACAAAAATTAACCGGGTGTGGTGACACACACCTGTAATCCAAGCTACTGGGGAGGCTGAAGCAAAAGAATTGTTTGAACCTGGGAAGCCAAGGTTGCAGTGAGCTGACATCACGCCCTTGTACTCCAGCCTGGGTGATAAGAGCCAAACGCTGTTTCAAAACAAACAAACAAACAAACAAACAAAAAACCAACTGCAGGGTCAAAAGCCTTTGAGAAAAAG